TTGGCTTTAAAGCATGCTGGCTGTTACAACCTTTCCCAATTCCAGACTTAGCATTTGATGATCTCTCCATGGATTTCATAAGCGGCCTTCCTCGCGCTTTTGGGTATGATACTATCTTTGTGGTTATGGATAGATTGACTAAATATTGCCATTTCTTGTTGCTTTGTCATCCTTACAATGCCAAAGAGGTGGCTGCCTTGTTTATTAAGGAGGTAGTTCATCTCCATGGATTTCCTAAGTCCATAGTCTCGGATCAGGATCGGTTATTCATGAGCCAGTTTTGGACGGAGTTATTCTGATTGGCTGGCACCACCCTCAAGTTTAGCTCAACTTACCACCCCCAAATGGATGGACAAACGGAGGTGGTTAACCATTTCCTCGAAACATACTTACGATGTTTCACTAGTTCCAAACCTAAACATTGGCCTAAGTGGATTCATTGGGCTGAGTTCTAGTTCAATACTTCTTAGCATAGTTCCACTAAAATGTCTCCCTTTAAGGCTTTGTATGGTCGTGATTTGTCCCTTCTTTTAAAGTTTACTGAAGTGAAGTCTGCTTTAGAGGATGTTAACCAGCAAAAGCTACGAAACGCCCTATCAGATGAGCTTAAGAGTAATCTGGTGGTTGCCAAAACTCGCATGAAGACCTATGCTAATAGTTAGCGTAGGGATGTTTCCTTCCAACCAGATCATTTTGTCTACTTGAAGCTCCAGCCTTATAAATTTAAATCTTTAGCTCGGAAGCTCAACAAAAAACTTAGTCCTCATTCTTATGGACTTTTTGAAGTTCTGGCCAAAGTCGGAGAAGTTGTGTACCATGTAGCTCTTCTAGCATTAGCTCAAATTCACCCATTCTTTCACATTTCTCAACTCAAAAAGAGTTTACACACTGTCGTTCTACCCCTTCCTAGATTCCTCATTGACAAATTAAAGTTGCTTGTGCAACTTGCCTTAGTCACAGCAGCTCGCACTCTTTTAAATGGGTTAAGGGAAGTTCTAATAGAGTGGCAGGACCTTCCGTCTTTTGAAGCAACATGGGAGTCATTTGAGGTTATCAATAATCAATTTCCTCAATTTCACCTTGAGGACAAAGTGGCTCTCCTAGGGGGGGTATTGATAGAACATCTCTAAAGCTAAGGCCTAACACACACACCACACGGGTTTACAAGATAAAAAGAGGAAAAGGGAATAATTAGCTAGTTAAGTGTTTTGGGGCACGTGGCATCAGCAATGAAAATAGTATGCAGCTAGGTATAAGTCTAGAGAGGCAACTTATTAAGGATAGAATGCATTTTAGTGGAAAATTAAGTGGGAGGCTCCTAGCTCCTCGAATTGCTAGGGTTATTGTTGGTTTACAGAGCCAAAGTGTGCAAAGGAAAGAAAAAACAGAAGAGTGCAAACTGCTCCCTTTTTATTATGCAAACCAAATACATAATATAACATTTCATCAGCTCACTGTTACAACTACTATAGCAGTGAGCTTTTTACATGATCAAAGCTAAACCACACAATTTGAACAAACATAAGACAATTAAGAGACATAAAGCCTCACATTCAGCTCCATTCACCTAAATACATCATAACACAAAAAGTTACCAAGCTGCCCCTAAGCTACTGCTTCCAACACAGCATAATACACTTCTCTTCATTGGCGCCAAAAATTAACTTCAAACTTCAATCCCTGAACATTGCATTTCTAGCAAAGCATCATGACTTCATCACTCCTCCTTGATGCTTTTGCTGGAAACACCAAGTTTTAGCCTTAAGTGTTCAAACTTGGCTTTGGACAAGGCTTTAGTCATAATGTCTACAACTTGATTTTCTCCTCTGCAGTGCACCAAACTGACTTCCCCACATTGTTCAGCTTCCCTCACAGCATGATACTTAATCTTAATGTGTTTGGTTCTGCTGTGGAGTATAGGATTTTTGGCCATGGCTACAGTAGACTGATTATCACACAAAATCAGTGTTAGACTTCCTTGAACTTGTTGCAAATCATGCAGAATTTTCTTTAGCCATACAGCTTGGTTTACTGCTGCTACTACAGAGATGTACTTTGCTTTAGTATTGGACTGAGCCACGGTCTCTTGCTTCTTTGACAACCAACAAATTGCTCCTATGTTTATGTAAAACACATAACTAGAGGTGCTCTTCAGGTCATCCAAGGAACCACCCTAGTCATTGTCAGTATACCCCAGTAGCTTCAAGTTTTTTGTTTTCTTAAACCAGATGCCTAACATGGTGCTTCCTCTCACATACCTCAAGACTTTCTTGGCTGCTTTAAAATGCAGCTCACGTGGGTTACGCATGAACCTGGAAAGGTAGCTTGTAGTGAACATGAGGTCAGGCCTAGTGGCTGTGAGATACGACAGACAAACTACTAGACTTCTGTATATCCCCTCATCTACTCTCTTTACACCATCTTCTTTACTCAGTTTCAAGTTAGGAACCAGTGGGGAATCTACTGGTTTACAACTTTCCATGCCAAATTTCATCAATATGTTAGTTGCATAGCTCTGCTGGCACACGAAAATTCCATTTGGAGACTGACTTATCTCCAGGCTAAGAAAGTAAGTCATCAGCCCCAAATCTGTCATTTCAAACTCATTTTGCATGGCTGTCTTAAACTGGTTCAGTTCTTCAGAATTGCTTCCAGTAACCAGCAGGTCATCAACATATAAAGAGACCACAGTCAATCCACTTTCAGTCTTCCTAACATAAAGTGTGTGTTCATTTGGACTCCTAGTGTGACCTAGGTTGCATAAATGGTCATTTATCTGGCTGTACCAAGCTCTAGGAGCCTGCTTTAGGCCATACAAAGCCTTTCTCAACAGGTATACTTGGTCCTCTTTTCCTTTAACCTTATAGCCTTCAGACTGCTCCACATATATCTCCTCTGTAATCTAGCCATTCAAGAATGTTGATTTAACATCCAACTGGAAAATTTTCCAATCAAACTGGGCTGCAAGTGCAAGCAATAGTCTAACAGTGTCATGCCTGGCTACAGGAGCAAAAGTGTCCGAAAAATCAATCCCTTGTTGCTATGCAAAACCTTTAACCACAAATCTTGCCTTATGTTTATGGACTGATCCATCAGAGTTAACTTTTAGCTTATAAATCCATTTCACTTGGATCACCTTCCTCTTTTCTAGTCTGTCAACCAATTTCCAGGTCTTGTTCTTCTCTATCATGAAAAGCTCCTCCTACATTACAGTCTTCCATACTTCAGATTTTGCTACTTCATTGTAATTTCGGGGTTCAACCATGGCCACATTACATCTTTCATATACTTCAGCTAACGATCTAGTCCCTCTCACTGAATGTTCTTCATCTTCATCAAAATCTGCCTCTAGAATCAGCTCCCCTCTTGTCTCTTCCTGCCTTGGCTTAATTCCCTCATCTGTCCTCTTCTCTTCCCAATTCCAAACTGCAGTTTCATCCACCTTTACATCCCTTGTAATCACAATTTTCTTAGACTCAGGGATGTAAACTATGTAACCTTTGGATTGGCTGCTGTATCCTATGAAAATACCAACCTCAGCCTGATCATCCAGCTTAGTTCTCTTGCTTGCTAGAACCATGACATAGCATATACTCCCAAATATCCTTAGATTGCCCACTGCTGGTTTAATTCCACTCCAGGCTTCTACTGGAATTTGTTTCTTGACTGTTTTAGTTGGTAGTCTATTCAAGAGATAAACTCCTGTATTGACAGCCTCAGCCCAGAACTTCTTGGGCAGCTTCTTCTCTGCCATCATACATCTTTCCATCTCCATGATGGTTATGTTTCTTCTTTTACTGACCCCATTCTGCTATGGGGTGTAAGGAGTAGTAAACTGGTGCTGAATTTCAGCTTCTTAGCAGATTAAACATAATTAAGTTGATGTGTATTCTGTTCCATTATCACTCCTTATGGCTTTGATCATTGTTCCAGCTTGGTTCTCCACCAGTAGCTTGAACTTTCTAAATACAGCAGCTACCTCATTTTTCTGCTTTAGGAAATATACACAGGCCATCCTAGAGAAGTCATCAATGAATAACACAAAGTATCTACTTCCACTTAAGGATTCAATCTTCATAGGACCACACACATTTATGTGGATCAACTGCAACTTGTCACTAGCTCTCCAAGCCTGGTCTGATGGAAAGGATAGTCTGCTAAGTTTGCCAAGCTGGCAGGCTGTGCAAGGATACTTCTTTTCTTCTATTTCAGGTAAGTCTAAGACCATGTCTCTATTCCTAAATTCTTTGAGACCTAAGTAGTGGAAATGGCCAAGTCTTTTGTGCCAAAGTTCAAACTCTTCAGACCTACTGATCAATGTATAATTTTCAGACTTTTTCCACTCTACCGGGAAGCTCTTTCCCAGCATTTTCACATTCATTAGCTCATTTCCCTCATTGTCTAGTATGATGCATGATTGGTTTTGAAAATGCAAGGTATAATTCTTTTCTAGCATTTGTCATACACTCAATAAGTTTTGCGTAATTTCTGGTACATATAAAACACTTGAGATAACTTTGATACCTGATTGTGTTAGGATAGCAACATCTCCAATTCCTTTGGCTTTCACATATTCTTCATTCCCAATTCTGACTTTGGGGCTGTAAGTCTTGTCACGCCTTATGAAATTCTGCAAATTGATTGCCATGTGGTTAGTGCAGCCACTGTCTATCAGCCACACTTCACTGCTGGTCTGAACTGTGTAACATGAGGCTACAAACAATTGTTCAGACTCACTGCCATGCTATTGATCCTTTGTAGATTGAGCTTGATGCGGTGGCTGTGTACCTTTGTTCTTGCACACCTTCTCAATATGGCCAAATTGTTTGCCCCTTCTTCTTACAGTGAGGACATAGTGGATAGCTCCTTGTTCCACTTGATTTTCCCCACTGTCCAATGGTTTTTTCTTTCCCTTTCTTGTCTCCGACATACCTTCTATTATTCCTCTACACATTCCTTCCTTTTTAAGCTGCCATCATAGCACCTTCATTAGTGTCCTCCTACCTCATTAATCTTCTTCGTTCTTGAGCCTGCAGTGCATGGACTAACTCTGTGAGGCTAATTTGTAACAGGTCCTTGGAGTATTCTAAAGAGGAAATCTTGGATTCAAACCTCTCGGGTAAGCTTACTAGCACCTTTTCAACAATCATCTTATCACTCATTTCTACTCCAAGTAGCCTGATCTTATTAACCATGCTCATAAGCCTATCCGCATATTTTTTCACTTTCTCAACTTCCTGCGTTCTCAACATCTCAAATTCTCTCCTCAAGTTCATCACTTGCATGTTCCTTGTTGTATCACTTCCCATGAACTCCTCTCTCAATTTATCCCATGCTTCTTTTGCTATTTCACACGCCATTATCCTTGTAAACACAAGGTCTGTCATTGCCAAATGTATGTGAGATAGAGCCTTTGGAGCCTTTGACATTTCTTCTTCATACAGCCTCATTTGATTCAGAGTGGGGTTTGGACCCAACTGCGGAGGTTGTTTCCCTTCCTCAACATACTGCCAAAGCCCCTGCCCTCTTAGATATGCTTTCATTCTAACAGCCCAAATATGGTATTGGTCACCATTGAACACTGGCGGTGGAAGGGAGGCTGACTGAGCTGCCATGAACACAAGTTAGTTTGGGACAGATTTGTTCTTTAAGGAGGCTGGAGGTTGATGATGAATTCAAGGTCAGTTTTTGAGTTTATATGGAGGTCTGGTAAGTTGGCTCTGATATCATTTTGTTGGTTTAGAGAGCCGAAGTGTGCAAAGGAAAGAAAAAATTAGAAGAGTGCAAACTGCTCCCTTTTTATTATGCAAACCAAATACATAATATAACATTTCATCAGCTCACTGTTACAACTGCTACGGCAGTGAGCTTTTTACATGATCAAAGCTAAACCACACAATTTGAACAAACATAAGACAATTAAGAGACATAAAGCCTCACATTCAGCTGCATTCACCTAAATACATCATAACACAAAAAGTTACCATGCTGCCCCTAAGCTACTGCTCCCAGCACAGCACAATGCACTTCTCTTCATTAGCACCAAAAATTAACTTCAAACTTCAGTCCTTGAACATTGCATTTCCAGCAAAGCATCATGACTTCATCAGTTATCTTTATGTTTTCCTTTCAATTCTGTTCTTAGAGTTCTTGCTACCTTACCGTTCTATCATTTCATTTTATTAATACAAAGTGCAAAGTATATTCAGATTTGTGCTTGACTTGTTGTGTTCTTTGTGTTGTGGAGTTGTGGTTGAGTTTTGGGGATTCCTAACAGTTACATATTAGCTTTACACTAGATGTGTACAGAAAGAATAAATAATCAGAAATCAATTCGCATTCAAAGCTGAATTCTCCACTAATGAATGGAAGACTCTACCATCTTAGATGTTGAATTATTTGTTGAGTCATCACTTGCTCCAATAACAAGTATCAATTAATAACAAGTATCAATTAATTAGTTTAACAGACTGCAGAAGGTTTATTTAGATCTTGAACATGTCATTGCTCAAAAGTGATGCCCATGTGTGGCTATGAAATCTTCAATATAATTGGTTCTAGACATACGAGCTAATTGAGAAAGGTGATATGGACAGAACACGAATGCTGCAGATGAAAATAACGCATTAACAACACCAAGTCGACGAGTCAAAGAGCAGAGAGGGAGAATTTAATCACTGTATATGAACAGTCATAATGATTACATGCTTAATTTAAACAAGAATCTGAAACAACTTTGTTAAAAAACCCTATTATCAACAGTCAAAATGATTACAGGTTTGTTCACTTAATTTTTTTTCTAGAATCCTATAGATGGAGGCTTGCAATGGCTGAAACAACTTCGGCCATGGCTCGGAATTTCCGCCTTTCCTTTAGAAGCATTTTTGCAAATTCAAGAGCTTGTTGTTCACAAGCTGCTCTTTTTCTGGCATCCTTAATTGATTCAAAATCCTCAACATGGGCCACACCCACAATCCTCCTAACAATCAAAAAATAAAAATATCATCATCAGACATAGATTTGACAAGTAGAATGCCAATAATGTTTCGAAAAGAAAAAAAAATTTATTAATGTTTCAGTACCAATCCTGAAAGTTTAAACTAACAAGAAATATTCTAACTATAATATTTTAACTCTTAACATATTCCTTTGAATTTATCTTACCTTATCATTTTGGCAGCACCAAATCCAAGGGTGTCGTGGAACAGATCTTTCATAAATTTTTGTTGAACAAGCTGCTGAATCTCAGGATTATTATAAATTTCTGGAATGTATGCCTCACCAGAGCCACCTTTATGTTGATCCCAAAGTGCCGTGAATTTTTTGTGGAACAGAGTCCAAGTCTCTTCAAGTGTCCTCAAAATCCATTCCTTATAACTCTGCAAGACAATGCCAACTTCAGAAATGACCCTTAAAAGTCATAAAAAAAAAAAAACTAATTGAAAAATCTCAAAAGTGCCAAACATTAATGGTATGCATCACACTCTAGTTTATCTGCAAAATTCCAGAACTAAATTATAACTGACATACTTTGCGGTCATTCCTTTGATTAGCATGTCCATCTTGGGCAAAATAGGCCAAAATCAAGTTTCCAAGAAAAGCTCCAATATCAAAACCCATTGGGCCATAAAATGCAAATTCTGGATCTATAACTTGAGTTGAATCAAGAGTAACCATTACAGAGCCAGTGTGGAGATCCCCATGTATGAGAGCTTGAGCTCTTTCACAGAACCTACAGAAATGGAAGCTCTGATATAACTATATTGGAATTGCCACATATTGTGGAAAGAAAACTAGTACATAGAAAGAAGTAGTACTTGGATTTCAACTCAGCAATTTCAATCTTCAAATAATTATCCTCCCTCACAGCCTCCACATCTCGATCAAGATAAGGAGAAGTCCAATGGTTATATTGAGATACTCTGTAGGGGTCAGAAAAAACAACACGCGCAGTATGATTGCATAACTCTACATTCCCACAAAATTCAGCGACTGCATCAATCATTCAAGTAAGCTCATTAGCATCCCACTGGAAATTAAGTGCGTAAATTGTGAATTAAGATATAAGTTACGTAATGATTCTTACCAGCTCGTTTATGCTCCATGGTAGAACGGTACAGAAGAGATGTGCAGAAAAGAGTTTTTGCCATATATTCTGATATGTGTTCTGCGAGCAATGGATACTCAATTCCTGCAATCAGCCCTTTCCTCAGGATAATATATGGAGGCTCCAAGAATCGCATTCCGATCAAAGACATCGGACGATCAAAATGATAGACTTCAGGAACATGATCAGGGCACAGCTGGCGGTGCTCTTTCAACGCCAATGCCTCAAAATAGGCTCGCTCCCTTGTCATTGGCCATGATTCACCTATACATCGAATGTATTCGAGTGCCTGCGCATCCACAAGCGAATTACAAAGGTTAGCTCAACAGTTGACACTATGAATTATATCAAGACAGAAGGAATTATATTTGAAGTACCTGCTTGATGACTATAGAACCAGAAGTGCCGACAACGATATAAACGAAATTGAGGTTGCCATCTCCGACTTCTTTGATGGTCAAGTCATCAAACTCGTTACCAATTTTGGAGGACAAAGAGGACGTGTCTTTGATATACTCTATCAGAAGTTTCTCGTCGAGTGGTCTGAACTCCGTGAAGGCCATCTGTTGTGGTTATTAGTGGTTTTGGCAGACAGTGAGGAGATAAACAATGAAGTTGCAGGCTTTTTAAGGAAACAATGAAACACACATGATTAATGATGGTTTGGTCACGACACCGAGCGAATGTGGGCGCGGAGAAGGCGAAATGTCAACTGTGGAGGCGCCAAGGTTCAATGAATGCGGACGCGATTTTATTGATATTCAAAGAGTAAACGATTTTTTTCCACCCGAACGATGGCCTAATGAAGCACGCATGGACTTTTAAAATTACACTTTGCTATCTAAACTACTAAATTTTATTATATTTAATTATGAAGTCGAAGATACCCTTTTCTCTTTTTCTTCTCTACTCAGCCTCTTCCGTTGCTGGAGGCCAAAAAAAAAGGTAATTACACCACCACCAGCACCAAAGCCACCCCCTCAATATTTTTTCTTCTCATCGTCTCTTCCGTTTCTCAGCCGCAACAACACATCCCAAATATCTAATATATGAATTGTAAATATCTGAGTTACAAGGATTCTCAATTATCTCTAAGTAAATGCAATTCAATAGATTATCTCTTCTTCGTATTAAATTTCTCCTTCTAAGGCTTAAATGTCACCTCTGCAATGAGTAATACTAGGCATACAAACAAATCTTATAAAGATTTCTATACAAACTGATGTGATAGAAAATGAATGAAAGAATGAATATAAAAAGTCAAATTAATCCTATTAACTATTCCATTCATTTTCTATCAATTTTCTATCATATCAGTTTATGTAAAAATCTTCGTAAGATTTGTTTGTATGTCTAGCATTATAGCTATGCATTCACCACCCATTCTATCCACCTAGCTCATTTATACAATATGGTTGCCGAGAAATTCATTTACGAGATTGATGAAGAAATCATTATGATCAAGAGGAAAAAGGAAAACACAACGCAATCAGTTTTTCTACAAAGAAAATTCCATTAAGTTTATTAAAATCAAGCAAAGTTTAGATAATTCAAAAAACAACATATTGACCCCTATTACAAAACTGTGTTTGTTGTCTTTAGGGTGGATATGGGAAGTAAAAGGGGGGGGGGGGGGGGGGGGGGGGGGGGGGGGGGTTGGGGGGGGTTGGTTGGGGGTGGTTGGAGTTAGCGGTGTTTAAAGAGAGAAAGAATGCGAAGAGAGAAAAAGAAAGAAGAAAAGAAAAAAAGAAGAAAGCGGCTTGGTGCGATTGAGAAGGAAAGAGATGAGAAAGAAAAAAGATTGTTGGAGTAAGTCGTTGATTAACTCACTTTAGTGTATTTTACCCATTTTAAATGGGGCAGAATATACCAAGTTGACTAAAAGATTTCCAATTAAACCATATCAAACTCAAGTGCAGAAAGTAAAGAACACAGTCATATACATGGTTTGGCTAAAATTCACTTTTAGCCTACATCCATGGGACTTGTCCAGATCAAAGTAATCCACTAAGTTAAAAACACATTACAAGATAAGTTTAAAGTTATCTAAGATACAGTAAAAAGAACTTCATGTTCAACTTTACAATTAGCACCACACTTTAATCCTTAATGTATAGCAACTCCTTGGACCTTCTTCATGTCGGGACACACCTGAGAACAGCTTGTGAACCACCAAGCTTCACGCACTGACGCCACGCACCAACATCAACAAAGGAACCACATTCCAAGAGCCATCAAGTCAATGAGTGAAACGATAAGGTTTGGCACAAATGGAAATGAACCTATGAACCTTAAGAGAAAGAATACTCTAAAAAATTTAGAGTATAATAAAATAAAAGATCAAAAGGTTAGATTCAACATACGCAGAAAGGATGTTATATAGTGTAGGGTTTCTTGCTCAAACATTAGTGCCACATCAGCCAACAAGAGGCGACCCATGTTTGTCCAAATAAGGAAAGTATTCCTCTTTGGTTTGGACCACAGAACAAATCGGGAAAATAGACTTTATTCCTTAGGACCAGTTAAGGATATATGACACATGTAAAAGGTCCTAAAAAGTTAGAGGCAAAGATAAACAATATCTTTTTCACTTTTTCAAATATGCAACTTGTGCTGGGTTGCAAATATCTGAAGCGAGAGTGTAAGCACAAATTGTTGTGCACACACACTCAAAACGAAACAAGCCAAGACACAAGTCTGCAACCAATGTACACACGGAATAGTTGTGCACACACACTATAAAAGAAACAAGCCAAATCATAAGATTGGCAACCAGTGTGCACACATAACTATGTGCACCAACTTATAAATTGACAAATCTGAATATTCCACATTCTCCCCCTTTGTCAAACTTTGAACAAAAACATAAACAGAATATGATCAAGAGCAAACATGTTTCAATCAATGTAACACCCCATTGAGGTACGATTTAAATTATGTTGTATAGCCCTTAGTTAAATTTTGTTAGAATTATTTTAAGAGAATATGAAGAAAATCCTTAAATTTGCATTAAGGGTAAAATAGTCTTTTCACTCAAAACTAGTTTTTTGTGGGGAGTGAAAAGAGATAGAAAATCATAGAGAATTCAAATAAGTGAAGGCATTTTGGTAATTGACTAAGGGATATTTTCTATTAACTTTCTGTTGTATGTCACAGCCTCATCTTACCGGAGGCACGGCTGAGTGGAGATCACAAAGCACCCACCCACTCTTGTGACTTTATCATTCTGTTCCTCTCTTCTTTCTATTTTCTCATTCTTTCTCACTTGAATTCAGGGCCTCATCTTACCGGAGGCACGGCCGGGTGGAGTTCACAAAGCACCAACCCATTCTTAGATTTTTCTCATTCTCTTACTTTAGAGTAGCCATTCACAAAGTCTCTACTCTTTCTCAAACTACTTCTTAATGCACAATTAATGCATAAGGATGGTTCATGCTTAAAGTTTCTTACTAATGCACTTATGAAATGCACAATGCATTGCATCAGATAGTCATTCTGCACAGGTCACACTCAAGAAGACTAACTTGAGTTATATACATTAGATGATACGGTTTTGGTCTCGTTTTAAAGCTTAGAACAGGGTTCAACTTTTATGTTTGGTCTAAACCCAGTTCAATCTGTAAGATGCCTAAAAATCACTTAGAAAGTCACGTCTGTGACAGGGCAGTTTGGTAACATGTTTTCACTTAGGCATTTCATCAAACTTAGTTGTGCACAAACAAACCCTAATTCAATTATCATTCTATTTATTTCTCAAACCATCCAAAATGAGAGAAAAACTCTCTTGTAGCATCACATACCTACATGGCAAACACACCCTCCAAAAAAATTTCTCCAACTTCCATTTCAACCCATCATCAAATCATCACAATATTTCTCATATTCAAATATATCCAACAATAAGCATATACATCATACATATCATCTCAATTTCTCTAATCACAACATATGCATATTTAAATAAATCTCTACTCACTTGAATTCTTAAATTTTAGCTTGAGTTGGATTTTGAGTGGATTTACTTACCTTGTTCTTGAGTAGTCTCTCCTAAACTCTCTACTCTTGTTGGATTCCAATCTTCTCTTAACCTTAAGCATAAAATTCATAAGAACTCAACATTTACAACAATAATCATAGTAAGGTATGAATCCTTACCTTTGATGCCTTAAATCAAAACCCTATGAAAATCTACTCAAGAGCCCTCAAATTCCTTGGAAAAGTGAATGAAAATTTGAGAGAAAAAGGAGGAGGTGTGGGATGGTATGAACGAAATAAGGTTTTCAAACCCTTAACATTTTAGTTTATAAACTCACTTTCCCATTTGCCCTTACTCTTTCCTAGAAATTCCATCTTTGTCCCTTGAAAGCAATTCCATTGTGAAAGAGAAACAGAAAAAGAAAATAATGAAGGAGAAGAGTGAAAGGAAAGAATTAAGAGAAAGAGTTACGGGGATAGACGAGTAGAGGATTTACTTACTGAGCATTATTTTGTGCTCACCCCGTTGTTTATCTTTGTGTTTACAGGATCTAGGTGAGGACGCGGTCGGATGGGCGTTGGCAAGCGAGGAGCAATAGCTACACTGTCCACTGTTTTTGATAACTTTTACAAATGATACCTTACTTTGTATAAAGAATGATTATATGTATTCAAAGAGTCAATTCTACAATAATTGATTGGCTCTAGGGCATCTACTCTAACAGAAAGAACTTCGATGCAACATCGAGTTGGTTTATAATTCTTTATCTGACCCAAGAGTTTATCGCCGTGGCGAAGAAAGAACTTCACCGTGGCAAAGTTTTTTGAACTATTCTGAATTTATGAAATTGCCCTCCGCTTGCTTCCTTGCTTGAATCTTCAATCTTTATTGATCTCCAATAGGACAAGCTTCATAGTTCTTCAAATCCCCTTCAGACTTCCTTGAATCTTGAGATTCGCTTGCTTCTGGGTCCAGAAAATCAATTCTGCTTAGTATTTGCTCTAACTGCAAGTTTTTGCCTAAAACATAAAATATATGGAATTAAGTTGCAATTCAGGCACAAATGAAAGAAGAAGTATCCAAAATTCGGCCAAAAAGCCTAGATAAAACAGTGTAATCCTGGGATTATCAAATACCCCCAAACTTAAGACATGCTCGTCCCCAAGAATCAGGTACAAAATTTGACTAAAAGAGAACAACTACCACCTCAACACTCAGTTTGCTCTGAAAACTCTAGGTTCACTGCACTACTTTCTTAGGTTTGAAATTACAAGAGATAAGTCTCATCTGCACATAAACCAGGCAAAGTACGCAAAAGACTTACTGGTTAAAACCAAAATGCTGGATTGGAATCCTTGCACTACTCCCATGGCTGTTGGCACTAAATTAGCTCTTGAAGACAGTGAACCATTTGAGAATCCAGCTCTGTATCGGAGTACCGTTGGTGCACTTCAGTATCTCACGTTGTCCAGGCTTGATATCTCCTTCTCAGTCAACAAATTGAGTCAGTTTTTTAAGGCTTTAACACAGTTGCACTGGCAAGCCTGTAAAAGGCTTCTTTGGTATATCAAAGGAACCTTAAACTATGGAGTATTATACAGTCCTAATAACAGATTTAATCTAATCTACTATATAGATGCTGACTGGGCTTGCAATCCTTCAGATAGACGTTCTACCAGTGGGTGCTGTGTGTATCTTAGATCTAATCTGATTCAATGGAATTCCAGGAAGTAAAAGGTGGTAGCGTTATCCTCCACTGAAGTAGAATATAGAGCCTTAGCTCAAGGTTTCACTGAGTTAGCATGGTTTTGTAGTCTGTTTTCTGAAATTGGGCTGCCACTACCAAAGGTTCCTATCATCTGGTGTGATAATCAAAGTATCAAATCGCTGGCTTCAAACCCTGTCTTTCACGATAGAACAAAACATATTGAGCTGGATACTCATTATGTCCGGGAGCAGGTTACCTCCAACAAGCTCAAAGTGTAGTTTGTTCCTACTGAACATCAAACGGCCGATATATTTACTAAAGCCCTATCAACTTCCAGATTTAAACTACTTCGTGAAAAACTCAATGTTAAACCACCTCTTGCTGTGCATGGAACTTATGGCTTAGTGACTTCTACGTCTTGAGTAGTTCGTGAAGTGCAGCAAACAGTGTGTTCGTGATATGCAGCGAACAACGAGCAATAAGTGTTTGTGTGTTCGTAGCGAGCAGCGAGTTTTCATGTATTCGTAAAATGGAAAGAGTTTTCATGTGTTCGCTTTCATGTGTTCGTGAAGTGTAGTGAACAGTGTGTTCGTGAAGCGCAGCGAACAACAAGCAATAAGTGTTCATGTGTTCGTAGCGAGCAGCGAGTTTTCGTGTGTTCGTGAAATGGAGCGAGTTTTCATGTGCTCGTAAAGTTCAACGAGTTTTTCATATGTTCGTGAAGTGCAGCAAACAGCGAGCAATAAGTGTTCGGGTGTTCTATTACTTGTTAATCAGTTGAGAAGGTTTTGTTGAAGAAGGGATGTTAGAATGTAATGAAAAAACATAATGAAGAAGTAAAGAAGTGTGAGGTAAAGAAGTGTAGACGTTTTGTTGATGAAGGGATGTTAGGAAGTAATGAAATCTGATCATTGATTGTACATGACGTGTCAGGGAGTTAGTTTTATTTCTGTTACAGTGCACATGCAAAATACATGCAGTGCAAATTTATATATAAAACACTTTACGCATGTATCATAAGTAATCATCATCAATAATACAGATCTGAATTTTCTCTCTCTTTTGCTCTATTTTTCCTGCGTTTTCTGTTAGTGTTCTAAGTGAAACCACATCTGAGTTTTTTTTTTTTTTTTTTTGGTTGCGGTCGGCAAACGTTTTCTTCTAAATCTCTGGTTTGCTCCTTCTGGTTTATCGACTGTTTCTAGAATTTTTTGGTGAAACCTCATCGAATCTGTGATTTCTGGCGTCTTCTATGCTTTTTCGACTTTTTCTGGATCTTTCTGGCGCAACCTCGATTGCTTCTGTTATTTTTGATGACTTTTGGCTCCTCTTCTGTTATTTTCGGCGACTTCTGGATTTGTTTCGGCCTTGTTATTTTTTATGACTTCTCCTCTGGTTTCTCTTTGTTCATCTAGTTTCTCTTATTCATCTCAGTTTTCTTTGGTTGTTGCTAAGTGGCTGGTTTTTCTCTTCTTTGGTTGTTGGCTAAGTGGCTGGTTTTTTCTTCTCTGGTTGTTTCCGATTGGGATGATTTTGTATTGTTTGGGATTTACTTGTTTGTGGATTGAAACCCGCGTTATTATTCCAATGCCTTAAGGTATGAAATTACTTTCAAGTAATTTTCTTTTTGAATGGAAGGGTAAAATGGTCAATTTACATGTATTTCGAGATGTGACCATTATTAGTGTAAGGGGTGATGTCATTGAAGATAAATGAGGGTAGAATGGTCATAAAGTTGATTGATATGGTTAAATGGGTAAACAGTAACCAAGGGTATAATGGTCTTTCATACAAAACCATATGATTAAGTGTCCAAAAAAGTGCACCAAGGGTAAATTAGTCATTCACCAATGGGATTGCTTAAGGATAAGTGTTTCAAAGAAGTCAAATGGCATTAAATGAGTGCTTATCTTTATGTTGTGGTGGAAATGACCAAACGCCCTATATGAAAAATTGCCAAATGACCTTTTATCTAACTTTTATTGACCAATCACATAGAGTATCAATGGAATGAATATTTACAAGGTTTAAAAAGAGAGTAGTCGGCCTTGGAGACCCCAAATATATCTTTCTTCTTCATCTCTCAAATCCACCATAAAAGCCACTAATCCAAGCTTTTATTCTCAAATTTTCTTAGGATTTCAAGTGATTTTCAAAGGAGATCACCATCCACCCTTAAAGAACTTGAATTTCAGGGTTAAAGGTGAGTTTCAAACCCTAGTTTTTCTGAATTTTTGGTTAAAAGAGAAATTCATAAGTGGTTGTGTGGGTAAGGTAGAAAGGTGAAATTTTGGAGCCAAGGAGGAGTATCTTTGTGCTTGAATACTAAGGTAAGGAAAAAATCTCCTTATGACTACAATTGATAACACCTAGGGTTATGAAACTTACATTATTTTGTTAATATGAGTGTGATGCTATGTTTTGGTATGAGTTGTTTAGATGGGTGTGTGATTGATGTATGTGTGCATATGGAGGATGATTATGCCATAAGAGATTGTAGTTGGACGATGTTTTGGCACTTTTGGTTCTGTAAAAAGGGAGGTTTTATGGCCTTTTATAATTAGAATGATATGGCAAATAATATCAATGTGCAAATGAAGTGACATGGTTAAAAGAAATAGAATTCGGATTTGGCTGTTTTAAGACTTATACTGTACATGCTTCACGAATCAGTCATAACTGAAGTTATAGAAGTCTGATTGAGTTGATTCTTGAAGTGTTAAAAAGTTGAGAAACAGACCTAAAACGTTTATGTTTTAGCCAAAAATAAATTCGAATTAGAAGATAATGGAAAAATTGCTTGAAAGTAACGAACTGTATGGCATCCACTTCTTAATGGAAATTCCATTTGTTTCTAATTCTAGAAACCCTGATAATTACTACTGAAATTCTTTCTTTGTATGAGAAATTGAATGAATTAAGTAAGAATTTTAGTAGGAGAATATAGTATGATTGAGCATGGAATATGTAGTCCATATGTTTGCATTCATAATGGTAATGCATATAGTTATTTAGTTGTCTTATGAAAATTTATGAAATGTAAAGAATGAATTCCATGAGTCTCTTGAGGTATAAACCAAGATCAGAGGAATGGAATCTTATGGAAACCATGAGTCCTTTGAGGTGACGACCAAGAACAAGGTAATGGTTTAAATGAATCCGACGGATAACAAAGACAATGAAACCATCAAGTATAAAGACAAAAGAAATAAGCATGCCATGTACATGAATATTTCATAAGTCATATATGTTCTATGTTATATTATGTATGATTAGTTGACTTATGTTATGAGAAAAGTCCAAAGTGTATGATATGTTTATGAACTTGTTATGTTAAAGAATGAAGGTCATATTTGTAGGTAGTTAAGGTCTAAGTAATATACTTGTAAAATGAACCTAATAGTTTACAAATGGCCATATTCCTTACTGAGCGATTAGCGCTAAACACCCGAAATGTTTTAAAATGTTTTGCAGGTAAGGATTAGGGCATGAAGCTGGGAGAGGATTCCGAGGGATGCTATGAGCATGAAGGGATGTTTTAATTATGACTTTTGAATGGTTTTGCTAGTATTTAGTGTAGTAATTATGTTCATACCTCATAATGTAGTACTTATGTCCATGTTCTATAATGGAGTAAATATGTTGTATTAATAAAGGAAATCAAATTGCTAGTAAATTTTATAAAAGTGTGTATGTTCTAGTAAATATTACTATGGATTTCATAATTTACTCCAGGAAAGGAAATTATATTTTTTGATTATACAATGAACTTATTATAGAAAAAAAAAAAAAAAATTAAACACATATATCTATATATATGTTTTAAACTACAAGTTTATTCTTTAAATAGGATTTTAAAATAAACTTCTTTCCTAGGCGTGCATTTTCTAGGTTCTCAATGGCCAAGGGATACTTAGGAAATACCCGGCTAGGGAGGGGTTTTACATGGATTCTGGTGCATTTGTGTTTGTTTGGGATTTACGTTGAGTGTGGATTATGGTTTGTTTGGGATTTACTTTGTTTGTGGATTTCGGTGAGTTTGTGTTTGTTTGGGATTTTCGTTGAGTGTGGACTCTGGTGATATTAGTTTGCTCTATATTTTTTTGGTTTGGAAGTGTGCTTTTTGGTTTTGGGTGTTTTGGATAGTTGCGGGACATTGGTGATTTGGGTGCTGCACAGTACTGCTTGACAGGAATATTGTCTGTGAGATTGTTGTAGAATTGATTACAATATGACAGATTCAGGTAAACTGGTGGTGACTAAAATTTCCGTTACCGCTTCCACCAAAATTACCGATAGGAAATTATTGGGAAAGCAGAATTTTGTTTAATGGCAACGAACTATTAGACGATATGTTTCTAGCATTGACATGGGGGATCATTTAACTAAGGTTCCACCTCCAAAAACTAAGACGAATAAGAAAACTAGGAAGAAATGGCTAATGGAGGATGATAAATTGTTTAATCAGGTTCAAAACATTTTGGATCCACCGGTGGATGATATTACTAATCACTGTGATACAGTTAAAAAATTGTAAGATTATCTTGAGTTCTTATACGCTAGTACACAAGACTTGTCCCATGTTCATGATTTGTTCTTGAGGATTTATCCAGCTAATATGCAAGAGAAGACATTGTTAAAGTACTATACTGAAGTGAAGCAAGCTTTCCAAGAAAATCAATCTATATTTCCTGTGACTACCAATGTTGTACAAATGAAAGAACAAGAAGAGCAAGTGATTTTCTAGCTGGGTTGAGGCCAAAATATGATGTAGTTCAGACACAGCTCCTAACCGGTGACAAACTTCTTTCTCTTATTGATGTCTATGCTCTTTTCCTTAAGGTTTGTAAAGGGGAAAATAGAGGAACCTCACAGGATTCTACTACAAATCATGTTGCTTTAGCTAGCATGAAGACTTACAATGGTAAAGGAAACAAAAGGGTGAGTCAGGATATGGGGAGTAGTCGTAGTCATGGCACTTGCATTTGTTTCCATTGTGGTGATGGGGGACATGTAAAAAGGTATT